AGGGTCTGGATTCGGGACCCGAGCACAGCTGGCCTAGCCAGCTTCAGCAGCATGAGGTCATGCTCATCTGTGCGCCTTGGCAGGATGGGGCCTGAGCCATGGCGGTATTTGGGGTGCATAATAAAGCTAGTGGTTCTGCGGAGCTGCTCTCCCTGGAGAAGCAGCAGGTGGTCATCCCCAACTCGAGCCCACAGCTGCCTGAGGAGGGAAGAGACACATGGAGGCAAAGTCTTTGTAGAGACTGACTGGACAGTCCCTGGGAAGGAGGGTGCAGGTAGTGGTGGTGTGGGGGGGGGAGGTTAGACACTTGGATCCTACAAGGGGGCTGGGACTCCTGGGTCTGAGGGAGGAGGGGGCTGGGGACCCACACTCCTGGGTCTGAAGCAGGAGCGAGTGGAGGAGAGGAGAGCTGGGGACCTGAATTCTTGGGACATGAGGAGGAACAACCAGGTGTTGGGGTCCCTGGCTTCTGCTGGGGGTCTCCCTGGGTAGGCCTATCCTTTCCTGCCTCCCTCAATAGGGACTCATGAGATGAGCAATTTCTTTTAGTTCAAAATTCCTAACCACGCGAAACCCTGAGTTCTGCTCTGTTGCTCACAACTATCTGCACCTAAGTGGAACCCAAATAGAATCAGGTGGACAGAGGTGATGGATGGGCCTAGAAATGCTGAGAAGGGCCACACCGCCCCCTGGCGGCCACGGCAGCGCCCCGTCTCTCCTTCGGGAAGCTCTCCAGGGCTCCCCGCAGGGGCGCCGGCCCTCCCCGCCCCCGGACCCCCGGGGCGCCCCCAAAGAGCTCCCTTACTTGTTGTTCCCGCAGTGCGCGGCCGTGAGCACCCAGCTCTTGTCCACCAGGACACCCGCGCAGTGGAACGAGAGGCCATTGAAGAGGGACACCTGCCAGGGCTGCGAGCCGCGCGCGCACGGGGCGCCAGAGGCCGCCAAGTCCAAAGCCGTGTCGTTTTGGGGGAACACCGCCTCTGCAGCTGGGGACAGGAGGTGGCGATCAGAGCGGGCGGGGCAGGGCGAGGGCTGGGTTTGGGGTCCGAGCGCGGCCACGGGACGGAGCGGGGGTGGGGGTGAGAGG